CCGCCCGCAAGCCAAGACATGGCAGACCCCTCGTTTCTCATCAAAAAAAAAAAAAAAAAGAAAAATATAAAGGAATAGAGAGAATGAAAAGGCGTGAGGTGTCCCCCAGAGCCCCGCCAAAAACACAGCCTCGCTCACCGCAGGGGACCCCTGCGATGCACCCGCACATGCACCCGCCCCAGGCACGGGGGCACCCCCCACCAGAGAGCCAGGGAGGACCACGCACCCCCCAGACCCCAGCCCTCGATCAAGTGCAGTGCAGTGGGGCAGCTGTGGGCAGGGAAGCCTCCTCCCCCTCCTCCCCATTCAGCAATGCCTCATTTCGGTTTTGGTGTATGTTCCCTTTTTCCCCTCACGTTATTTCTGCCCAATTCAATTAATTCCTTGGCACCTTCTAGAATTTACTTTCCAATCTTTTTTTTTTTTTTACTGTATTTTTTTTTTTAAGACCGACCCTTTTTGGCATCAAGGGAAATGAAGTTAGTGAAGGAAGGTCTTAGAGGTCCGAGAAGTAAAAAGCAGGGCAGAACCATGCTGGATAACACTGCCCTGGGTACAGAGATGCTCCACAGGGAAAGCCCAGTGAGCCAAGAGGGAGGCTGAGCTGCAGCAGGAGAGGGGTGCTGATGAGCTGAGGGTGGGCTCACACCCCTACGCCTGCCCTCCTGCACACACCCCCACCAACAACAGGGTCCATGGATCCCATCCATCACCATCCTCATGGGCCACTTGCTCCACACCAAGTCCTGGAATAGGGTGGAGAAGAAAAAATGCCATTGCACTCAGCTTAATTCCTAAGCTGAAGGAGCCGGTGGGTCCCAGCACCACACAATTGGCCGAGGACAAGAGATTAAAGCAAAAAATAAAAGGTTTCCTCTACAGCAACAGTCAGCATTAGTTGACTTTGTGGGTGCACCAAGCAGTTTGGATGTCCCTGATGGGCCAAGGGACAGGTTGCTGCTGCACCGCTGCACACCAGAAATTACCAACACTCCAGGCAAAACCAAGGGGGTTGGGGGACAAGCATTTCCCTCGATATTTCTATTTATCACCGAGTGAAGATTTTCCAGGGTGTCCACCTGCATCAGAACTTCTGAAGGAAACTCCTCTCCTCATAATAATCTGATTTTTCAAAACAAGCCTGGACACGAAGCCTTGAAGAGCTCACTCCCACGGTATTTTGTGGGAAGCGACGGATGCATTTTTGCCTGCGCTCCAAGCGAAGGAGAAGCCTTGGATGAACCCAAGTGGCCGAGCAAAAAGCCCAAGGTTAAATAAATATCCGATTCTCATTACATGCAGAGCGAGGTCACTTCTGCCTGCAAAGCACCACAGAACCCCCCGAGAAACCTCCGCAATGACAAGGATCTTCTCCAAGCAGCTTCAATAAATACACTCGGGGTTTTACTTACTGGAGGGAGCGTTTGGTTTTCATCCTCCCCACGTTCAAGTGGGCAGTGAGGCTTACCCCAATGAACAAATAAACTATAACACCTTAAGAAAGAGAGCGGAGAAATGACATGCTCAACGGGCACTGCAGTCAAAAGGAGAGCAAAAGGTAACAGACCAAACGAAGAGCTTGAGAATCAGATAATGGAGTTTAACCACACAGTAATGAGTCAAATCCTGGATAAATCACTTAAAAATATTTTTTTCCCTTCCCATGAAACTTTCTGCAAGAAAGAGAAAATATGTGGAAAGTTTTCTGGACAAGGGGAGAGCAAATATATTTTGTCTAGGATGAGAATGGGACAAATTCCCGATCAGTCTCTGAGTGTCTGGACCCCAGACGGAACGAAAGAATATGAAAAGGTGGATGCTCAGGAAGGCAGACACCGGTCTCTCATCATTAAGGCCCCAGGGAGAACTCAAAGAACGAAAGGGTTCTCGTGGAGGACGATGGGAAGAAGTAACTACTTGGAAAATACTTAATTGGTAAAGACTAGATGAGCCTGCAAACGCTTTTTACCAGAGTCTCACGTAGGAAAAGTGACATGTCCTCGCTGTACCAGCAAGGCAACAGCCAGACTCTCGCTGCCTCCAAACGCACTTTATTCTTCTTTATGGACACTTCCTACTTGCTTTCAGCCTCTCTGACCTCCTACATGGACCACCAGCCTGCTCAAAGGCCGACCATGGGCAACTGGAGTGCAACAAATAAAATCGAAGCAAAAGCATCCTCCACCCCGGAGCAGAAAGCCCCCCGTGCCCTCCCGCTGCGGAGGGCCGTGGCACTCTTCTGGTTTAGACAGGGATTTAGCAGCAGCACTTAATGATTTACAACCCATCTGTCCACCGCCGAGAGGCATTTCTCCTTGAAGGACAGAGTTTTATTTGCAGCCCACGTGCAAGGGCAGAGCAGCTCAGCTGTCCCTCCCTGCCCTTCCCTTTCATGCCTTCCAGCTTCCCTCGATTCCCAAAGCAACGATTGCATCAGCTTTCCAAAATTATTCCGCGTTGGGCATGACTGCTCCCATCCCTTCAAGAGATGCCGTGAACAGGGCTGTTGCCAGCACGGAAAAGTTTTCTGTACACCTCCTCAGGGCTTGACTTGGACCTGCAACAGAGGAGAGCTACGCCTCAAGATCACAACGCTTTGCAAAGACTTGCATCCAGCTTAACCAGCGCTGCACTAGGCAAAACGCCGCTCTGGTTTACCGGCCAAGAGGAGGGGACACGACACAGGGTGAGGTGTGCTGGCGGGGATGTGGTGATGGAGCGTGGTTGGTTTGCCAGCACGGAAATAGCCTGGGCTAAGAAGACCACAATGGGTTAATGAGTCAGATTCCAGCCCCACCTCCATCACTCTTTGGGGACACAACTGTAAGGAGTGATGAGGCACGGGCTTGGCATTTAGGTTCTATTCCCAGGTCCCTGTGATGTGGGAAGCAGCTCCGAGGAGAAGGACTTGGGGGTACTGGGGGATGAAAAGCTGAACATGAGCCGGCCGTGTGCGCTGGCAGCCCAGAAAGCCAACCATATCCTGGGCTGGATCCAGAGCAGCGTGGGCAGGGGGGTGAGGGAGGGGATTCTGCCCCTCTGCTCTGGGGAGACCCCACCTGGAGTGCTGCATCCAGCTGTGGAACCCCCAAGATGAGAAGGATATTGACCACTTGGAGCGAGTCCAGAGGAGGCCACGAAGATGATCAGAGGGCTGGAGCCCCTCTCCTATGCTGAAAGGCTGCAAGAATTGGGCTTGTTCAGCCTGGAGAAGAGGAGGCTCTGAGGAGACCTCACTGCAGCTTTCCAGTATCTGAAGGGGCTACAAGGGTGCTGGGAGAGGACTTTTTACAAGAACCTGTAGTGATAGGACGAGGGGTAATGGGTACAAATTGAAATCAGGGAGGTTTAGATTAGATATCAGGAAGAAATTCTTCCCAGAGAGGGTGGTGAGGCACTGGGACAGGTTGCCCAGAGAAGCTGTGGATGCCCCATCCCTGGAAGTGTTCAAGGCCAGGCTGGATGTGGCTTTGAGCAACCTGGTCTAGTGCAAGGTGTCCCTGCCCATGGCAGGGGGGTTGGAACTAGATGATCTTTAAGGTCCCTTCTAACCCAAACCATTCTATGATTCTATGAATTTCATCCTCAAAGACTTCCCTTTCTCCTGGCTTGTTGATTTAGGCTGTAGGGTCTTTGGGGCAGGCCCACCTCTGCCTTCAGCTCAGCTTCAGGACACGTTTGAGCAGGGCAGATGTTTCCCAGCTGGCACATACACTCCAGAGCAGTGGATAAAGAAGCCAGCAGGTATTTGCCATCAGCTCGGCAAGACGCTGAGATACCACCAGTCAACATACGCCATGAGCGTGTCTTGGAGGTGCCACGGTCTGCTCCTTCATTGCATGTAGCCCTGAGCCGAAAAGGGGTGTTCAGAGCTAAAAAGATACTGTTTTGAGGAAAAGAGGAGAGAGTGAGCAAGATGTTATTATTCCAGCAGCCCAACAAGAGGGCAGTTCCCGATGGGCAAGAGGCACCCGCGCCTTGTGCCATGCAACACAGCCAGGCAAGGACACGGCAGCCACAGGGACTTCTGCACAAAGCAAAGTTCTGTCCCGGAGGTGTGTGAAAAGCAAGAAGCCATATCCGCAGGGAAAAGGGGAAGGAGCTGGAACGAGCATCCCTACAGCAGGGCTACTCCATCAATTTCACGACTCCTTCCCACCAAGGGGAAGCTCAGCCAGTCTCCCTCTTCTGCCGACATGCCAGAAAAGGTCCTCTCACCAACGCCTTTGGACACAGTCGCTTTGCCAGGAAGGGTCTAGAAAAACGAAACAAAAGCTGGTATTTCACCCACGCTGCTGCGCGACTCCGGACGAGGTGCCCAAGGCAGGTCAACAGCTGGGCAGGGAGGCTGTTGGCACAACCCAAGCTCTGCTCTTTGATGGCCAACAGCCATCCCGAGGGCCTTCAGCTGGATATCTCCTGCGGTTCATCCCCTGCTGTAGGGAGACCCTTTTCAGGGAGATAATCAAGGTGAGGACAGGACTCCTCCATCTCTCATTCCTCCCATGTGCACCACAAGGATTCGTCCTACAAATCAACCACTACCAGCATGTTCATGGCATCAAAGAGAGCCTCCTGATGGGAAATCCAGACCTTGCCAGCAGTGTGGGAAGGCGGAGGTGGCTATGCAGAGGCAGCAGGCTCAGGAGAACTGGGAAAAGTCACTTCTCATGATGCCACCAAAGCATCCGTGTTTCTAACGGAGCTGTGAAACACCAGAAAATTTTCCTGCAAATTTTGTTTCATTTTTTGCTTAGATGTCTAACTTCTTAGACCACATCAGCACAAGCTCTGCACCAAGAGGGTGAGAGGACTTTTGGCATCGCTCCTGCGGACTGCAGCAAGACCTCCTCTTTGGCCCAGCATTTACTCCCAACTCCTAAAAGGGCCAAGAAACCAACCCATGTAAAACCAGGTTTTAAAGGTCCTCCAGAGGACAGAAAGGATTGACTGGCTCTGTGATAGTCCCAGTGATATTCCATCTTGGTTTATGTTATTTTTAAACTGTTTAGGGCACTGTGGGACAAGGGGAGGACTGGTGCATGAAACCAAAGCGAGAGCAGAATGAATAAAGATGATTTTCTGTCCGTTCAGGTTGATGCCCTGGCTTAATTCTGTCTTTCTTCTACTTCACATTAAAAAAAATTACTAATTTTTAAAACTTTTTTCGGGACCTTGCTGGCCAAAAAACAGACTGGGTTTGCAAGAAATCCTCTCCCTCGCTGGCTTTACCCCAGCAAACTGCACATACCTGATCAAGATAAATACAGTACCTTGCATACCTGCGGGACCAAAATCTTGCCTGGTGAGGAACACGGCATGGTCGTGGTACTCTGCGTGCTCCGGGTCGGAACGCTGCTGCGAATGAGCCCAGCGACAGACCTGCTCCAAGCTCCGAGACGGGTTCCCTCGCTCTATCAGGCTGACTGACTGGGTAAAGAATTTAAAAAAAAAAAAGAAAGAAAAATATGGGTAAATAAGTGGGGGAGAAGGAACCTGCCAAGAATTTTTGGGGTTGGAAAGATTCCTAAGCACTGCTTCTCCATCACTGGAAGCAACAACATCCCACTTTGCATCTGCAAAGGATCTTGCGCCTTTTTTTACTGAGAAACAGCAAGGAAATCATTCCCACAAATGGATGCGGTCTGGTACAGGAGGGTATATGACCTTCTTTGCTCACACAAGCATTCAGGGCAGCAGCATATAAAAGAGGAGAGCAGCTGGGAAGCAAAGAGGATTTGGATTCCCAGGTCCTGCACGGACTCCTCAGCAAGACGTCACAAGGTGCTGATGCTCAGCCATGAGCAGAGCAACGCTCCCCGGTAAAACCCGACCCACAGAGACTGAGACCGCAACAGGACATAGGTGAAGCTGTCCAGGACTGTTTTAGAGCAGTCACCTTGTCCTTCAGCTTTTGGGTTTTTTTCTCCTCAAGATTAGCATTTTGCAAAATTACGCTCTATAAAATAAATCACAGAACAGAATCATAGATAAATGCTGCTCTATACAATAAATTATGCTTTATACAATAATTTATGCTCTCAGGCAGGTACCCGCTGAGCCGCAGCGGTGGGAAGAAAGGTAAGAAATATTGCCCTTGAGTGGAAGCCACGGAGGTTTTATCCTATAAAGTGCAAGGTGGGAGACAAGAAGCCGCAGGAAGACCCGCTCAGGAAGCATCAGACCCAAACAGCAGTTAGCTGAGACCTCGCCTGGATTCAAACATCTGCTTATCACTTCCACGTCATTCCCCAAACTCGAGCAACTAGACAAAGCAGCTGCCTCCAGCGCAGGCTTCCGGGAGAATAAATCATCCTAAATGGATCCCTTCGGCTCTCATCCCTTCGGTTACTGGCTGTAACACTGCAGCGCTGAGTCCCTTTCCCTCCATATATCATCCTCCAGCCCAGAACACCAACGCCACTGGGAGGAAGCCAGACACATTACTGGCTTTCTGGGGTGGAGGTGGCGTTTCTGGTCTCCTAAAAGCCTCCAAGAACAAGCCAGCCTCCGTCCTTTCCCCTGCTTCTGAGAACCATCCCCGGGTCTCTAGGATGCATTTGGTTTCTGCCAGCTGAGCAGATTTCTGTAACAAGTAGGTTTTTTCCACGACCTCATGGGGCTTATTTGTGGACCACACACATGGACATCACTCTGCTGAGTCATGAATACCCCTGCTAGAAGACTTCACGTAGAATAGGGGGTTGCCGCCAAAAAGCGTAGCAAATCACACTGTTTTAAAGAAAATCTTTTGGCTGCCATGCTCAAACGAGCCTTCAAAAATAACTGCAACCTGAGAAACCACATGAAACCCTCCCGTGCTTTTTCTGTCCGTGCCCAACACCCCAAGAGCCAGGGGACAGCCAGCAGAGCCTTCCAGGGCTTCTGGGATACAAGGGATCTTGGCCTTGGCTTCTCCTCACTAATAGCCAGCTCCTCCCGGTTTGGGACGTCACCTTTGTCCCATCATCTACTGCCACCCTAGAGCTTCCGAGGAAGCATCGTATGGTTTTCCCTCACCCCAGAGCGAGCAGATAAAGGCAGATCGCAGCCACTCGCCATCCCTGGAAGTGTCCAAGGCCAGGCTGGATGTGGCTTTGAGCAACCTGGTCTAGTGGAAGGTGTCCCTGCCCATGGCAGGTGGTTGGAACTGGATGAGCTTTAAGGTCCCTTCCAACCCAAACCATTCTGGGATTCTATGATTCTATCTCCCCTGGGACCTCTCTTTTCCCTGGAGCTGGGAGGCTATGGGGCTCTCCAGACCTTCAGGCTCCAACAACCAGCCAGATGAGGGTTCAAATTCATCCCTGCTCAGCGCAGTGGTCACTTGGGCTTCAAGGCTTGACCTGAACGGCCACATTTTTCCAAGCTGGGGCTTACCTAAGTGCTAAATATTACGGCGATGAGACACTAAGCCACAGTGCTGCGGCACACTCGCCGGCCTCGGGAGAATCGGCAGCCTGTATTGCATTCCAGCGACCCTCCTTCCCGCGTAGAGCAGGGCTCGAGCCGGGAAAGCGGCCGAAGAGCAGGGGCCAGCCTGAACGGCATCTCTTCTACGCCACGTCCGAGTGCTGTATTTACCTGGCGGTATCCCACCATGATCATCCTGACCAGCACAATGTTGATGTGAACACCCAGGGACTCGTCGTGATAAATTTCATCCACCTGAAGGGGGGAGGGTAACAAAACAAGAGAAGTTAAGACCATCCCAGCTCTCAAGCCCCTCCTGCCCTCCACGCTCAACATTCAGCATCCTACTCCGTTTTCCAAGACCACGCGAGACCAGGTGCAAAGATCTCATCTCCCTCCTCCCACCCCCACCTTCTTTTTATTTATTTTCCCCTGTGTAAAACCCATAAAACAAAACCAGCCAAGCAGGAATAAGCCACATTTCCCCAGGATGGGTGGCTTAGGCTGTCAATGACATCATCCAGCCCATCAACAGAGCAGAGGAGGCTGCTCCCACGGGGGCTGCCTCCACCACCGAGCATCTCGCAACGAGCCGTTGCCCCCCTTCGGAGCATGAACTCCTCAGATGGAAGGAAACGCTTCGGAATCCAGCATCCTTGCATTTGGTGGAAAGGCAAAACGGCCTTTTGGGGAGAGGCGAGCGATGGTATCGAAGCAAGGGCATTAGTCAGTTATACCGGTGAGTCAAAGTTGACCTACCGCTTCAGAAACCCCAGGAGAAGAAAACACAATGAAAAGAGGGAGGGCTTGTGAGTCAACAAGATATCTGTCAACAGTCGGCTAGGAAAAATGACACTGCAAAAGGAAATAATGAGCTATAACCTTTTCCTTCTGCGCTTCTAGGATGAATAAGCATAGCCTACTCCTGAGTGCTGCCCCGAGAAGAACCTCCAGAAGAGAAAGGTCCCTGCGAGGCGAGCGGGGCGACGGCCGGCCAGCGAGAGGGGCACTGAGAGAAGCCACAAACCCACGCAAGCGCAGGACATCCTGCACCAACCTCGCCCGCCGGCACGAGAATACGGTTCAGAAAAGCAAAAAGAAAACCCCTAGTTTATAGAGACCGGGTCTTTCTTATTCCCTCAACACGAACACTGCCACAAACAGGGGTGCACTGCAAATTTGAGGAAGTCAAATTAAAATTATTTTTAATAGTGACCAGAATTAATATTTAAATTAAAATATACTTTTTTAGTTTTGTTGAAGAAACAATTTGCCTTGGCTCTACCAAAGCTTTCCAGACCAGATGGATATTATGAAACCAGATTTATGGAACATTTCTCTTTTTCCCCCCCCTGTTTCTCTTTCTTTTTTTTTTTTTCAAGCTTAAGGTTGGTTGACAGCACCTTTACTGCTGCCCACATCCAAATCTGCCATTTCCCAGACTGCACACGTGCTTTCTGACTCCCCCCCTGATTTACAGGCTGTGCTTCCGTTTGAAATACCCACTCTGGCCATTTTTAAACCCAAAGACCCAACATTAACGTTTCCCTGTGACAACTAATGCTCCGGTGGAGCGGCTCCGAGCTTTGCAGAGAGTTAGCGCAGGTCCTGAGCCTGACACGTCTTGAATGCAGCAAAACTGCTTTAAAAAAAAAGAAAGAAATCAGTAAATAAATTACCAGACCATCCCTATTAATGCTTCCATCCCAGCAAGAAGCTGCAACACCCCAGAAGGGTCACGATCAGCCCCGGGTTTTGGACCGTAGGAGGTTTTGGCATCCCAGAGAAAACATCAATGGATGTGAGAAGTCCCACGTCAGGAGGTTGACCCTTTACAAAAATATTTCAGCCTTAAGGTATGTCAGACGACAGACAGTATAAAAGAGCGGGAAATGTAGAGAGAGGGAGAAATTAAAAATATGCTGTGTTTTTCAGGCTATATGCCCTGAAGAGCCACAGAGCTAGACCTGGGGGATGGTTCAGGGGAACAAGGGAGAAACACGGCTACTCCGTTCAGTTTCCCAAATCTTCATGCATTTTCCTTCGCCACCAGCACGCGTAGGGAGCTGGAGCACCATTAACCCTCCTCTTCAGCCAGCACCTCAGCATCATCCACCAGCACTCTGCTGCTTGCTCCCCAGGACCCCTCGATCCATCGGGATGAGCCGTGTTCCTGCCTTAGCAACCTCTCTGCCAGCCGGAGCATCCGGCCAAGCCGATGCCTGATCTTGCCGTGACTCGGAGCACCTCTCCCTTCACAGCTACACAGGATATTTTGGCAGGGTGGTCAGCAGATGCCATGGGAAAGGATGTTCCGGGACAACCCACCGCATGGCCACCCCTACCAGTGGGAGACGAGGAGGGTCGCATCCAGGGCAGGAGGAAGCACAAGCAGAGGAGCTGTGGGGGCAGGAGGTTTGCTCCATGCAGGCTGACCTACCCCGCAGCCCTCCTCTCTTCCCACCAGCAGTGCCTGCAAGCGGTCCCCATATCTGAGACAAGCTGCCTGCCCTGACCCATGCACCCCCAGACGACATTAGCTATCCTGGGAGAAATAAAAGAAGTGGGAATAGCAATACATTTCACAGCCATCAACAACTAAATGTCATCATCAACACCCTCCCAGTGCTGAGCATCCTTCCTCAGCCTCGCTAGAGAAGCTGCTACGGCCAGCAGCAGGACCATGAGCAGCTTAGAAACAGCTCATTAAGGGACTAAGATGCAAGAAGCTGCATTACTTCAAGATGGGATTTAATCCCCTCAATCTTCCTTGTAAAGCAGTGCTAAATCCCACTCTTCCCCCACCTAGCAGGGACTAGATACCTCTCCAGCCTCTGCGCCAAAGGGTTAACCCTAAACCTCAGCCCCTGTTTCTCCAGGGCAGGGCAGCATTTAGGCAGGGATTTCTACCTAAGAGATACCAGCTTACGCCTAATTCAGAAAGCAGATGTGGAACCAGACCGCCCAAGGCTAAGGACTTCCCTTAATAGCCAGATATAAATAATTGATGGAGGGGAAAAAAAGAAAAAAGGACAAATCAAACGGGCTCGGCGCTTGCTGCCCATCAGCCCATCCTGGAGCTGGTTCAAGCAGGCAGCAGGGATGGAAACGGGCCCGGAGAGCAGTTTGCAGGCTTGGCACAACTCCCCCTGCCCTCTGCAGGGCCCATTAAGCAAGTCAAAAGTCTTCAGAGAAAATCCCTCCAGAAAATACCTGCTCAGCAAAGGGCTCCGGTGAAGGGACCTGTCTCCCTGAAGACAGATGGGATAAAGATCTTCTTATTCCTGTATAATATCGTCACCTTGCAAGAAATGCTCTCCTATTTCATGTACAAGAGGATTGTTTTCTCCTTAAAACGACCAGCCCTTAAGGCTAACTGCATATTACGGGCAAACCAGCAAGAACAACCAGCCCGCAGGACCCCCCAGCAGGCAACCCCAAAGCCCCCAGCCCCGCAGTGCCAAGGGGATGATGCTAAGCTTTACAAAGAAAGAAAAGAACATCAGAACGCTGTGCATCCCCTCCGAAACGCTCAACGAATTTTCAAAGCGCGTGCCCCCCCGCCATCTATCCCCCCAGACCCTCGCTGGCGCTGGGAGCGAGGCAAGGCTGCCTACCTAAATCCCTGCAAGTCTGGCCAGCCCCGAGTCTGCAGCCCCAGACACAAGATCTCGACAGCAAACCGCACTGGCAACGTCTAGACCTCGCCGTTCTTCAGGGAAGGAAAACAAAGACAGAGAGACACGAGAAGAATTTGCCAAACCAGCAGAATAGCTGACATTTCGAAACCCCAGAACGCTTCATCAGAACAGCCAAGTCATCTTTAAACTCCTTTCTTTTAGTCCCTCGCTCAGTTTGCACGCTGGTGGAGTCACCCCAAGCCCATTTCCTGGGGCTGAGGGTGTAGGAACCCCCAAAAGTCCTCCTGACCACATCGTTGGGCTCGCTACACACACGTGCGCCCCCCCCCACACCTCTGCAAGGGGCTGACCCACGTTACCTACATTTTCAACGTGGAGGTTTGCTTTGCAGAACAAGACTTTAGATTTTATCCCAGCCCTCTGCACAACAGGCTATGTTGTCCCAAAAACATAGCAACAAACACGTGAGTCTATAGGAGGGGGGAGAGGGGGAGCATGTGCAAGCGGAAGAGGCATCAGAGGTATTTTTTTGTTATTATCAGTCAGAGAGGAGGTGGCTCGTGAACCACCAGGAAAAAAAAAAAAAAGGAATGGGCCAGAAGGACTATTTTTTTTTTTCCCCCCATTATTTTAGCCCAGCCTCCCTCCTGAAATTCAGCAGAGCAGTGTCTCAAACAATCCATGCTCCGGCTTGGATTTTTGGGATGATCCCACGTTAAAAATAAAGCTCGAGGTTTGATTTTTTTCTCTCCCCTAACCCTTTGCCCGCAGGGGTCTCGGTAACATTTTGTCACCCAGCCCCTGAGAACAGTAATGTGGCTGATGTGCCGGACAGGAATTGGGCATGTCCCAGCCCGGAGGGGGCTGTGACTCACTGGGCTTCCCTAGTAACTCAAAACAACGGGAAATCACCAAGTACCTTTTCAAATCACAGGCAATAACCTACACAAACCCAGCAAACCAGTTACCACCAGGACCAGGTTTAACTGAGCCCCTAGCTGGGAAGTCCAAAGGAGAAAACCATGTTGGCCATTGAAAAGCCCAGGCAAAGCCCCGGGCTTAATTGGGTAATTCCCAGGAGCCCAAAGGAGGGACAAGAGGCTGAAAAGCAAAGCAGGACACAAAACATTTCCTCTCCTCTTCCCCTGACAGGGTGCTGGATCCCCTGCTGGTTCCCAGCCCTTCTCCCACCCTTTGCTGTGGGATGCTCGCTTTGCTTCGACAGCACCGCAACCCCTGCCACAGGAAGTGAGCAAGATGCCTTCCCTCAGCTGCCACATCACCAAATACTCATCCCAACAGCCCAGCATCAGGGAAGGGGCCAGATTTTGCTAGGATGCACACAGGGATGCTCGGCTCGGAGTTAGGCGATGCGCTCAGATACGCCTTCTCCAGCACGCAAAGCCTGAGATGGCAAAGGATGCGTTTCCCGCTCACCTCAACCTGACCCAAAATCCTCGCGGAGCCTCCAAGCCAAGAAGGGAACGGCTGGGAATGCGGGCTGGGAGCTAGCGGGGCCAGCAGCCTGCAGGGAAGCTCTTAGGTGCACAAAAGGAGCAGTCATCCTCATGTCAGCTTCCCGGGATGGACGCAGCGCTGTTTAAAGAAAAGCCTGGCATCCACATTTCTGGCAATGAAATAAGGGATTTTTATTAAAAAAAAGTTCTCCACGACGAATCATTTATCGCTGAGCTTCACCCGACACCGAGCTCCTAATAAAAGGGTTTGTGTCCCGGCGACAGCCCCAGGACGCTACCTACAGCAGCACCGGGAAGGGGTACATGTCCCATCAACCCCTCGGCACACAACAGGGACCCCAGAAAAGGCCAGGAAAGTTTATTATCAACTTCCCAGCTCGCTGCCCCCTTTCCTTGGGATATATCTTGATAGGGATATATCTTGATCTCCCCAGCGTACTCCAGCCTAGCTCATTAAGTCCTTTCCTCGTTAGAGGGCTGGCCAAGCCTCTCCTCCTTCCCCTTGCCTCCAACTAATGGGATTAGTGTTGAACTGTGTGGTCCCAGCACGCTCCTCCCCGCCAACCCCCGGCACCCTCCTCTCTGCCATCCAGGCCAGAAAGCATTTTTTTTTTTAATCGGGTGTTTTAAGGCAATCCGAGCCGGTAAGGAAACGAGGCGGCGCCAAGGGAAGAGGAGGCGGATGGAGGTCACGGCAAAGCTGGAAAGAAAACTCACTCAAAACCAGAGAGAAAGAAGGGGAAGGGGGCGGGGGAAGAATGTATAGGAGAAAATAATACTTGGGGGAAGTATTTGTTGCGTGCATTATCCTGTTTCCCCCCCGCCTTTTATTGATGCTGCTTTTTCCCCTCTTTATTTAATTCGTTAAAGTCCCCAGCGCCGCCTTTATTTGAATAGAGCGCGGTCCCCCCTTCTCCCAGCACAGCATCCCGCGCATTCACTGTCTGAAAAGTCCTGCCCGCGGGGTAGGAACCATGAAATGCGCCTGAAAACCAACCTTTTGATTAGAGCTTGACAATCCCCAGCCGCTCAAACCGTCCGTCCCCCTCCCTTTCCTCAGGATCGGAAAGGAAAAAAATGACATCATCTCCGACCCCCGTAACGTGGGAAGAGCCCCGGGGTCAGAAGGGTTTAAGAAGCAAAAGGGGGGAAACTTGCAGAGAGCGAATGTGAGCGATGCTGAGAGCATCCTACCACGGGCGCCGGGATGACACACCGGAGAATAAAACCCTGAAATGAAGGCATTTACTTTCTAAAACCAACATCATCTCCGTTTTGGGACTGACGTTACGCTTGGCCTCTAATTCCACAAATCCTTACCCTTTATGTTGATAATTTCCCCTTCGCTACTGGCAAAACGTCCCCGGAGCCTGCCTGCCAGGGCAGAAATAACGCCCAAACGAGCGGCCAAAAAGCAAAAGCACCTTTAAAGCTTGGTTATTTCTGAGCTGGCTGCACCTTTCGAACGCTTTCCATCACCAGACAAAAAGAGCACTTAAAGAAAAATAAATAAATAGAGGATAAAGCATGGAAAACGAAACAAAAAACAGGACAGCACACGAAAGAGATCTTTGAACGCTGACCCTAATGGCAGACGTTCGGGTACCGGCGGAGCAAACCTTCTGAAAGATGAAGAGCTGAGTAAATATTGATCCTTCCACATCTCTCAGGAGTTGGACGTGTCCTGAATGTACATTTTACATTAAAAAATACATAAATTCGTACATTTTCATCTATGGAAGGAAAGAAGAGGTGTGGAGGGAATCAGCCCAGGCTGCCCCGTGACACCGGGTGGGGAGAGATGCTGTAAAGCTGCTATAAACTCCTTTTCAAACAGATCCTCAAAACGCACAGGATTAGATCCAACTAATCCTCAAAACACACAGGTTTTCCAAGGAGCACAAAAAAAAACTTCTGAGCATCGATAAAAGTCTTCCCCCCTCCATCAACAATATTGTTCAAACTACATAATAAACTACGTAATTACAAACTAAATAATCAATATCGTCATTTCAAACTAAATAATCAACCACCACCCTCTTCCCTAGCGTTTGCTGAGGCTTCGGCCATGAGGAGGAGATGGTTTTGGCCAGGAGGAACAGAAGATGCTCTTGGACTCGCGTGACAGGCAGCGATGGCAACCAACATGCCGGGGGAACGCGCCGGACAGGGAAACGGGTCAGAGATGAACAGAAAAGGGCTCTGTTTTCCATCCCTCCAACTGCCACACCTATTAAATGCCAGAGCCGGCTGTACGAAGGAACAGCCCTTCCTGCAGCACTTTTCCTCCCCCCCCAAACCCATTTTTTTCCAGGATAACAGATTTCCAGCATCAGAAGAGCAGTAAACCAAGGGAAGGGTGGGAGCCACGGCCCCCGCGGAGCCAAGCCTTACGATGTTCATGAGGGTGAGGACGTAGTTCTGGACGTGCTCCTTCCCGTGGAAGCGTACGACCGAGTCGTCCACTGCCAGCAAGACCTCGATGTTGTAGTCGTCCTTCCTGGCGTGACGCCTCTTGCGCTCCGCGTCCCCCAGCCGCTCCGTCATCAGCTCCAAGGAGTTGGGGAGGTCGCCCACCCGCACACCAGGCACTGAGCAAGGCACGGAGATGGAGAAAGAGCAAGAGACAGTGAGGTGACCTGATAACGTGGTGACACTCCAAAAAAAAAAAAACCAAACACAAATTAAGCAGAAAAAATAAATAGGATATTTAACTCCAAGCAGGTTGCTGATCCAGCTTTCCAGTGGGGAAAAGGCTCTGAATTGGGAGCGACCAGCACTAAAAAAACACATCAACACGACGATGGCCCTACGCTGCCCCTTGGGTGCTGGTGGGACCCGTGGGGAGGTGAGAAGGACATGTGCAAAGACGGGGGCTGCTCTTTGAGAGCGTGGAGCCATAGCCAGAGCATCCTTCCTTCACCCTCCAGCCCACCCATCACTCAGCAGTCCCTCCGAAGCCCTCAACTGCAATTCCACTAGCCACGCTACGAAGGCAACGAGCGCGCCCTGGAAAACGTTTAAGCTTTTTTCAAAAATCAGGGAGCCGACTACAGTGCCGCAAGAGGCGAATAAACGCCGGGGAAGGCGAGTGCCCCCGCGTAAATATAAATAGGTTTATAGAGTGGTTCTGCATGACGTTGACCCCGTGCTTGTAAACACTTCTGGGTGTGCTTGGCTTTGTCCGGGTAAGCCAGCAGGAGATTTACGTGCCGCAGAGCGCGGCGCAGGGCTAAGTGATGCTGTAATAACAAACCCAAATCCATGTTTTTCTGCTTCAAAGCAAAGAAGAGGGGCAAAGAAAAAGGACAAGAGACTAGAAAAGTGAAATGAATTATGAATGTTGGGATTTCTATCAGCTGTTAAAAAGGGAAATCGATGCCACATTTGTATAGGTGATTAAAGTCAGACCAAGCCCAATCCCTCTCGATCCTGCTTCCCATCCCAAAGCTGATGTGATCGTCCATGGGCTTGATCACACCCATCAAGGAGATTCCTCCTCTTCAGAGAGGAAGAATAACTCATATAGAACTCATCCAACTTTAACCAAATCTGGAAGAATTTCAAAATTCCCAGCAAAACCCCAGCATTTTCTTTCCTTTCTTCTCACTGATGACCCAGTTAACACCCGCCCAAAGCCATAGGGCTAGACTTATGACCCAGAGGGTGAGTAGAAGAGATATCTTCCTCCCTCCCACAACAAGAAATGGTTATTATAAATTGCTGGGAAACACTAGATTCGTGGAGCCCCTACCTTCGGGGTGGAGGTCCTGCCGGGGCTCGGTGCCGTCCTGCCGGATGGCCGACCGGCGGTACACCACGTGGGCCCTCCCGTGCTCCTCTGTCTCCTGTTGCCCCCTCTCCAGGGGCTCGATGAAGAACTCGTTGCTGTCTGTCCGAATCAGGCCAGCCTGGACTCCACAGAGAAATAAAGGAAAGGGGAGGAAAACCAAAAAAAAAGGTGTGTTATAAACACATATGTGTACATAAGTACACTCATTAATGATTGATGCAGAGCAGGCAGGAATGAAAGGGGAAAAAGCATCCCAAATAAGCCCAGTGTCATGTATGATGGCCCTTAATTTCTCCTGTAGATAAAAAAAACAAAAGGGGGAGGGAGAGGGGAAAAACAACCAAAAAAAAAAAAAAAACACCCGGTCATGATTCCAGTTACATCTTTATATGGCTAGGAAACTCCATTCCTTCTCCTCTGCCATGAGTTTTTCTCCCTAACCCTGTGCATCGGGGGCTACAGACTGTCCGGGCTCGCGTGCTTCCCTGCGCCCTCCCGCATCCCTGCGCTCACGGTGCCAGGGAGGAAATCAGCCCCTTCACCGACCCTACGAGCTGCAATCCCAGCAAGAAGGAAGGAAAAAGAAACCATCATCTTTACCCCATGAAGTCCTTGGGAATCAACGCAGGGGAATCCCTTTGGAGAAGCTGGAAAGCGTTACGACTCCACCTCTCCAAGAAGGGGATGATGAATGAGAGGGCAAACATGGTTGGAAACGTCATCCTGGCTACCGACCTGCTCCTAATTAACACCAAGCTCCCACCAAATCCCCATTACATCAGCCCGAGCACTCACCCCCCGCAGCGCCAGCCGGCTCGGACCTCGGGCGAGCAAAAGGATCGCCGGGATTTGGCTTCCATCCCACGGGCAGCCCTCCCCTCACCCAGCCCAGCATTTTTCACGGCTCCCTCCGTCGCGCACGCACACGCTCCTTCCCCCGGCGCTGCCCTCCGCT